GCAATCGTTAATTTTCGAATGAGAATTTAGTCAGTCTAGGTCGCTTAAATAGACTTAAGCGACCTAGGGTTGTAGTACCTTAAAGCGGCGAGAGCGTGACTAAGATTTTATTGAAAAATAGCTGATATTCCCCACAAATAATCGCATAGAAATTGCGTACTTCCGTCGATTGCATGCACATGCCTGCCTAATCGACAATTGTAATATATCAATGAATTGGGCGAGGTCTGGCTTGCCTTCACTATCACATCTACCCCTCACTCACTAGACCCTTGCGTGTACTGGAGTGGTAAACGTTGCCACGACACCCATGACCCAGTATCGAATGTCATCGGGGGTAGTGATGGAGCCCAGGCAATGTCGAAACTGGTATCTCCCCTAAAAGAGAATGCATTTTGGAAGCAAGGATAAGATGAGACCTATCCACATTATTGTGAAAAAAACTCGCATGTCACTCCTCTAAGTATCTTTGATGTCAAAAACCTGGACTTTCGAGGCATGTTGAAAAATTCACTTTTGGTACTACCTGCAAGTTGGGTGGACGGTTCCACTTTGCGTAGAATGAGACGTTAGCAGAAGGTCACAATCGGCCAAATTTCCTCAGGCTCAAAGTAAACACCAACACTAGGCACCTATTTCATTCAAAGCTTTGCGCCCTAGAAGTTTTGGTCCCGTTGAGGATCGTATTCAGGGTCAGGCAATTATTGACGTTGTATCCATTTCGAAGAGGCTTCCTTAAGGTGATGGTAAACAGATAATTTAATTTTCTCACCTATGCTGAGAATTTGGTGGCTTCAAAACCTACTCAAAGTGAATAAAGTAGCATTGTTGATTAGAACGTCAGAAAGCAGTTTGCCTCATCGACATTTCCATTATATGATGGACGCTGGTCTCGAATTGAAAGTCACCTAGTAGAGTGACATAGTAAAAAAAAATGTATAAAGGTATGCTGCATTAACCGGATTGGAGTCCCGTTGGGGGTCGAACTGATAGTCCATCCTGGGAGGAAATTAAATGATATCCTGAGGCCTACTCGTAACATTGTTGGAAGCTTCAGTTGTCAGTTCCTCTTCACCCCATCCTCTCTCTGTCTCTCCTTACTCGATGAGGTTGCCTGGATGTAACCCTGTAAAGAGGCACAAATCACTGGGAGAAACCCATTTTTTGTCGAGTGATAACTTGAGTAATCAGCGTTACTCTCAGTGTCCCTCTGGGAAACACAATATTTGTTTTCTCTTGTTTTCAAGCTAATGATTGGTCACAGTAGAGCAAGTTGGGAACTGATAGGTCAGAGGCTCTGATTCTAAAACTGCGCTTCCACGATCTACTCTTCTGGTTAGTTGGCTGTGGAAACAGGATAGTTCATTGAGCATTGAGTTGGGTTCTACTGTAATGTTAGTCACTGGCACATTCCGTCTGCTTGCCTGCTTTCGGGATTTATTACTTACTCAATGTTAATCTCAAACTGGTCGAAGAAATTTCTTCCTTTTCGCCATTCATACCACTCCCTCTTGGAACGTATAAAAAGTAAATTTTCGTAGACACCTGTTTAGTCCTCCTTCAATAATGCGGCCAAGTAATGAGACCGTATTAGAAGCATATCCAAAATGAGAATGACAAATTTGGTCCAGAACCGCTCAAATCCCTCCTAAAGTTTAAGGAAATT